GAGGATGACTGACAATAAATTGTGAGTGTTATTATTCTGTCAGTCATTCTCCAACGCTCTAGTGACTAGAGCCAAGTTTCGTTTTATTCCCCTACCCGTCCCTTTTTTAGTTTTTGAGAACAAAAAAGAAGTATAACAAGAAAACATTATGTAGGTATTTCTCTTTACAAAATAAACAGCGACACATTTTTCTAATTTTGTTTCCAACTACATATTTAAACATGAAATAACAGGCGATTAACAGCGAAAGGTCCGTAGTGACTGGGTTATCTACATGTCAGTTATATTTCACCCAGTCACAACTATTTGACCGTCGCCTTTTTGCAATATTTTAGAAAAATATTTTAAATTTATTTTTAATTTTTTATCTAATTTTTACAAATTATCAAATCTTTTAAAGATAGGAATAAACGTTCTCGTCTCCTCAGTGAAATTCTGATTCAAAAAAGCATCAAATTTACAAGTCCCGGCTGTTGCGGAATCGTTTTATGAACCAGGATTTATTGTCTGTCCCAATGTTTTTTCTGACTTTGCTAGTTGTGAAAGAGAAAGAAAAATAAAATATATTAAGCATTTCTCCTCATTTAAAAATAAAAAAGTGCACATCGACACTTTTCTTTTAAAATATTTTTAACCTTAATACTATAAACAAATCTTGTCAATCACAAGGTTGATGTGAAAGGTCCGAAGTAATTAGGTTATCTAGACAAATAGTAAATGAATACAGACAACTAGACATCAAATGGACAATGCCTATGGAAGAATCGCCATTTTTGTACAATTTAAAAATTTATTTTTGTTAATTCGAGAAAGAATTTTTTTCGAATTTATTAATTTTAAGGATCAATATAAAAAATAAATCGAGAAATTAAAAGGATTTGGGGAATATATCAAAGATTTGTTTTAATTAAGAGGGATATTGAGGGTTGGGGAGAGGATAATGAGAGACTAAGAAGAATCTCGAATACACCCAAAATTAAAGATTCTACTGAAGGGAGGAGGGGGGAGGGATGAGAATCGATATCAAAATCGAAAGATCTCGATCTAGATAATCGAGATTTTTATCTCGTCTGGGTTCAATCTCTACCCAAAATTATATTATCGATTTTCAAAATTTTTCCGTCTCAAGGGTATATATAAAATCGTGCATGTAAAATCGAGAAATTTTTTTCTAAGTTTTTTATTAAAACTCAGAAAGGCTCTAATTTTCTCCTCCAATCTTATTCCAAAAAAAATAGTCTTTTGTATGTATTTTTTGTTATATTTTTTGTCATTTCCTTCATTTTGTAAAGAAAAAGCCTAATGAACAGCAATTAACAATTGTTAACAGCAATGAACAAAAACTTTTTAAAAATTCTCCAAGTTCGAAAAATTATTTACAATGCCTCTCTCTAATAAATGACATAAAGTGAGGAAATTAATTGAATTGGGGGACTAATTGTTTTTAAGCACTTTATTTAAAAAATATAAAGTGCAAAATAAAAAATCAAAGGAAAATGCCGGTGTTATTTCCTAAAAAATAAAAGGGCAGGGAAATTAAGAAATAATTATTTGCCCTTTATTTTTTAAATTCCGGAATTTTGAAATGTAAATGAAAATATATTTTTTTGGCTGGCATATAAAAGTAAATAGAAAATAAGCAAAAATTTATTTAAATGATAAGTAACTCCCCAATTACCCCCTCCCCTCCCCCTCTCAACTCACCCCCTCCCCAATTACCCCCTCCCCTCCCCCTCTCAACTCACCCCCTCCCCAATTACCCCCTCCCCTCCCCCTCTCAACTCACCCCCTCCCCAATTACCCCCTCCCCTCCCCCTCTCAACTCACCCCCTCCCCAATTACCCCCTCCCCTCCCCCTCTCAACTCACCCCCTCCCCAATTACCCCCTCCCCTCCCCCCTCTCAACTCACCCCAGATTAAAAAATTTTTTTTTAAATTATTGTTGGGACAGGAGGATACGAGCCGTTTCACATTCCTTTAATGTTTCTTATTTTCAGGAGTAAAAGAGGCAATTAAGAGCATTGGTCCGTAAAAGTTTTGTCTAAAGCCAAAGTTTTTCTTCATTTTAAATTTAAAAAATTGTTTCTTTCAAGATTTCAACCAATAATTCATTAGAGCCGTCCCAAAGCAAAAGAGTCTACTAAAGTCAAAAATCGTTAAAGGAACAAGTATTTTTTGACGGACCTAAAAATTGGATTGACTAATTGTTTTTATTTATTTTATAGAAAAAAATAAAAATGATTAATTTAAAATTAAATTTATTTTTAATAATTTTAATTTATTGGATAATATTAGGTATTTTTTATTAAAAAATTTAAATAAAATTTTATTTGTGTCGATAAAGGAAAAATATAGTAAGAGAGACCAGAGGGAATAAAAGTCTAGACAGGCATCAATTTAGCGACCTCTTGATTTGTTTCAAAAATTTTTGTAGAAGTTTTTGTTAAAAAATTTTTGTTAAAAAAATTTTTCTATGCGTTTTGAATAGAAATTAAAATTTTTAAAAATTTTGCAATTTAATAAACGTTTTAATTTTTTGGAAATTATGCATAATTCGCATGTTACCCTGCCCCCTAGTAGGGTTGCAATTTGCCCCTTACCTGCGGGTTATTTAACCCGGGTAATTAATTTATTCTACCGGGAACATTACGTGGGTCAGATAACCGGGTTATCTGACCCGATCATTTAACCCAAAGCTAGTGGTTTGAATTTATTCTGCGGGTTATTTAACCCCAAGGTAGGGGTTAAATACCCCTTACCCCGAATTTATTCTACGGGCCTTGGAAGTTATTATTAATCACTCTCGGTTATTACCTACAGATCAGGGGCTCATTTTTAAAGGCCGAAGAAGGAAGGCGGAAGAAAATAAAAAAAAATGGGAGACAAGCGGAAGAGATCCCATCCCTGGTACGATTGCCTTACAGACTAGTATTGGGCGCTGTTTTGAGTACTTTTCTTTTAATAAATCCCCGTCTACTTTTAAATGTTCTCTCTTTACATAATTTATTTAAAAGGGATTAATTCAACAAAAAATAATAAATTGAGCGAGAATGAATGGAAAATAGATATTGGGAAAGAAGAAATTAATTCTGATGAGGCATCTTCTTCTTTTGAGGAAATGCCCCTTGAGGATGTCGAAGAATCCTCCCCAAATTGGACAACTTCTGTCAAAACATTGTCAAATTCTGTTTGTCAAACAGTTGGAAATTTTAAAGAAAAAATAATTACAAAATGCCAAAATATTCCTATAAATATGAAAAAATCTGTTAAATGTATTTATATTCTAATTCTGGCCTGTCAGGTTACAAATATTTATTTAATTTCAAATTTACCTCGAAAAGAGCCGATAAATTTTGAATTAAAATGTGAAAATATTGAAGATAAAGAATTTGGATTTTTAAAAAAATGTACTGGAAATAAAGAAATATTTGATAATCACGATATATATTTTAAAAATAATGAAGGAGAAATGTCTAAAATGGGAGAAATTGAGGAAGAATTTAAATGTAAAAAAGGAAAAAATGGACAATTTTGTTATAAAACATTTAAAAATAATGAGAATGAGGGAAATAAAAAGAAAAATAAAATTTTAAAAGAGAAAAAAGGGAAAAAGATGAATTGAAGGAAAATTTGAAGGAAAAAGAGAGGAAAGATGAAGCTGAAGAATGGAAACGAGTTTTAAATTAAGAAAAAAGAAATTTAAAGAATATATTTTGTGTAGAATATTTTAAAAAAAATACTATTTTTTAGTAAAATTATTTATTCCCGAAACAAAGCCTACAACGAATTATGGTTACCTGCATGGGGAATTGGAAAATCTACCGTATTTACTCGATTAATTCCCCTCTCTCGAATAATTCTCCCTGCTACGGATGCTTTGAAAGAATAATCCCCCTCCCCCAAATACTCTAATACACGTTCAGATTTCAAAACTCGAATAATTCCCCTCCCTCGAATAATTCCCCATGCCAATGAAAGGTTGAAAAAATAATTCCCCAGGGGAATTAATCGAGTAAATACGGTAACTTTCCTCAATAAGGCTTTATTTCAAGAAAAACTTTTTTAAATAATTTTATGGGATGTGTTTATTTTTAATTTTAAAATATAATTGGATAAAAGCTTTTTTAAATAAAATTATTTAAATCATTTTAATTATGTTTTTGGTGTTTATTTTATAATGTTAAAAGGAAACAAGTAAATAATTTTAAAAAATTAAATAATTTTAAACCACTATCTGGCTACGGACCTTCCACCAATATTTTAATATTTAAGCAGAAATTTAAAAAAAAGTGCCAATGTTTATTTGTTTTAAAAGATTTTTAAGAAAAAGTATTGTAAAGCATATAGCTATTTAATTCCTAAGGCTGTGCAGTAGGCGGCGTGGTGTAATGGCTAACACATCAGTCCGGTCTACTGAAGATGCTGGTTCGCTCCCAGCCGCCGAATAACCTTTTGCACTAGCTAAAGGAGAGAAATAGCTACTATAGCCCAGCTGCTTTACTGTATATATTTAAGAGAAAATAAAATTTAAAAACAAAAATTTCCTAATTTAGTAATTCCCTCAAAACAATTTTTACTATCCTTTAATTCTAAAAATATTTTCTTCTTCAAAATTTTCTTCTTTTATCATCTTTTTAGCAACAAGTAAAAACATTCCATCACATTCATAAAATAATTTAGTCCCAATAGAATCTTTAAATATTTCAAGTCCAGCTTCATTTAAACAATTTAAAAGAAATTCTCTATCAATGTAGAGGCAAGAGAAACGACGCCCTCCAAATGCACACCAACTTGATTAGAAAAGATAAATTTTAATTAGAGACCGGATTAGGAGTGTCCTACGAGAATCGAGATCTCGAAAAATTCGCAATCTCGATAACCGAGATTTTCGATCGGGATCTTGACTCGGTCCGGTCTCTAATTTCAATTAAAGTTGGGAAAAGCTGGGAGAATAAGAAGGGGATTTAATTCACTATTTCATTCTTTCCTCATCCTTCATAATTTTTCTGGAGGAATTTTTTCTTCAAAAAAATTCCTCGTTTTTCCTTCATTCATCCTTCAGTCCTTCATCCGTCATTCTTTCCTTCATTTCCCCGTCCTTCAGTCCTTCCCTGATTTCATTCACTATTTCATTCTTTTCCTAATCCTTTCCTGTCTCTATTAATATTCTCACATATACATATCCGACCTCTCTTAATTATCCCCCTTGGATATATCTCTAATAAGAGTGTGTTAAGTGTGATAACACGGAGATTTTTATTTTCTAAAAATCCAAACGTTTCTTCCAAAATTCCACCCATAATTAACAAGCCCTGAGGGGCTAAAATTGCAGACAATCGTTTCAGAGCATTTTTGTATTCCTCTCTACTTAAACAACAATATTCTATTGTTAAAAATGTTGTTATAGCATCAAAATAAATTTGAGGGGATAACTAGAAGGGGATTTAATTGAATTAATTTTAAATTTAAATAAGACTTGAATAGCTGGAGATATATGGCAATCACAATGGAGAATTCCACGTACCTATATTAAAATAAATTAATTAATTTAGGTCTAAAAATACATTCGGAGTTAGAATTTACATCCAAAATCCCTCTATATCAATCCACAAAATTAAAGAAAAATTACTTTATCTTTTGTCGTTTTCTCCATTTTTGTAATATCTGTAGGTAAAGGGAGAGCCTCATAAACAGCAATTAACTAAATAAAAATAAATATTTTCTAAAAGCCTAACAAAAATCCGCAACTAAGAATCGGAATTTTAGAGATCCCACAAGCAATTTATAAAAGTTTTTGAGAGTAACTTTATCATATTAATCCCGTAAAATGATTCAGAAAGTGCTGTCCCACTCTGGAATGTCCTCTTCATCCCTCCATATATCATCCCTCCATCCTCTTCCTCCATCCTTCCATCCTTCCTCTTCATCCCTCCATCCTCTTCATCCCTCCATATATTTCTCAGCTCAAATCCCTCATATCCTCCTTAATCCTTGATATCTCCTATAATTTCTCCTCCATAACCATCGATATTACCTTAATCCTCCTACTCCTCCAATCTCTTAATACCTCAAAATCAACCATTATTAGTCATTCAAAGTTGTTAGGCATTCAAGGAGTCCCCTAACAGATAAATTTTTTTAAATTTAAACTCCCTCCTCCTTACTTTAAATATTTTAGTCCAATCAAAATTGGAATTTCCACTTAACCAATTATTTAATTCTCTTTTGTTTTGCGGCAAATAATCAGAAAGAAAAATATTTTCAGCTTTTTCTCTGAAACAAATAGCTACATAAATTGTTGGTCCAGAACCAAAATCTAATAAATTATTTATTTTTGTAGGTAATCTAGCTATTATTGAAGGTAAATGAAAGAGAATTAATTGCATTGCTGGGTCTTCTAATTTTGAATAAAAATCCTTTAAAAATTAATTTTTTTTTAAAAAATTATTAAAAAATTGGAAGCAAGGGTTTGATAGCATTACTCGAACCCCAATACAAAATCCGAAATTTTTTGGTTCGAAACTAGAGAAAAGTTCGAAAATTTAACTTAATTTTTTTATGGTTAGTGAATAGCCAGCCCATTTATAAAGTAAAATGTTTGGAAAGAGGAACTTTCCTTTGGATTGAGTTTAAGGTCGGAAAAAGGGTCCGGGGTTTCTTGTACCTCGGTATCTCCCTAATTATTGGGGCAGATATTTCCCCTTCTCTTTTCAATAGATTCCTTGTCTAGTATAGAGACCGAATCTATACGATATATTGATGGAAAATATCGATATGTCGATGTCGATACCGATATTCTCGAACGACCACTAAAGTTCGGTTTCTAGTCTAGAGAGCGTTTTAAATGTTATTAGCCCTTCCTTTTTCCTTACAAAAGGAACTTTTCCCTTCATTCAATGTTAATTTTTCTGAGAATTAAAAAAAATTTTTAAAAAATTATCTCTGAGAGATGTCCACGTTCTATTTTCCAACAATTTTTAAATTTAATTAAAAACCTTCAAATAAGCTTGAGTATCAAAATATTCATGAAAATGGTTTCTATTAAAAATTATTTGTTGAGAAAAATAATCTGAATTTTCTTCTTCATTATTTAATATTTTTAAATTATTTTTAATTAATAAATTTGTTTTTTGATTTTCCTTTTGTTGTTCTTCCAATTCATTATTTCCAGTCATTTTATTTTTTTTTAAACAAAGAATATTTTAATATAATCAACTGAAACAACAAAATCTTTCTTTTTCTAAAATCAGAACCTGCTCCAATAAAAATTTTTCTTTATCCGAGACAAAGTTTCAAACATTATAGACGAGGGAATGAGAGAGACAGCCATGACTAAGCCAGTTTCTGGATTAAATTTAAATAAAAGTCCTAAACTAGACAAGAAAATAGCCCAAACTTTATATCTTAATCCCTTCTCTAGTCCACAAAAAATGCTCGACGATCTTTTAAATATCAAAATATTTTTTGGGTATCGAAAATTTAGTTTTGATTATTTAGACTTGATTGTTTTGATATTATAAAAATTCTATTTTTTTAAGGAAATTTAAGCATTGGAGGGATAAAATTGTAGTGAGCAATTTTAAACCATTTAAAAGCCCATAACTCTTAACTTCCATATCAGGACCAAACACCCCCCCCCCCAACCAGAATAATTAGCAATAAGAAATCACCCATTATCTACAGGATAGTGCAAATAATTTTTAGAATTAGAGCACTCACACCTAGCTATTAATACTTCCCTTGTAAAGTATTTAAAAAAAGGACGGAAACGACTAACATAAAAGAATTTTAATTTTTTGGAAAATGAATATGTATGTATAATATAATATGAGTTTAAGCTTTCAAAAAAAACTTCATTATTCTCAAAAAACAAAACAAATGTTGCACAGATTAACAGGAAAAATATATATAATTCTTTTTATTTATTTTAAACTGCAAATCGTGTTTATAAGAAGGAAATATTTTGTTTGTGTGTTGATAGGCTTTAAAAGAAGAAAATAAAAAGCATAGATCGTTTTTTTCCTCAATATTTTTTTCTTCATTTTTAAGACAAGAATGAAGACATCGAGACAGAAAAATTATTATTTTCGAGAATTTTCTTTTTTGAAGGAAAAAAAAAATTTTGATGAGTAAGACATAATGAAACCTTAATATAAAATACCCCCTTAGGGGAACGAAGTACATATAATGAGTTGGTCTCTTATAATGAGTTGGTCTCTTAGATAGAAGGTATCGTGTAAGTAGTACTTTTAATCAATGGCCTACTAGAATTCAAGTGTATCTAGTATTGAGTGTATTTGGTAAAGAGGTTTAAATATTTGTTGATGATATTTTCCTTTTATCAAGAAATTTGATAAAATATTTTTTAAAAATTTTGGAATAATACATAAATTTGTTAAAAATTCATAATGAACTAAGAGATTGAAGTGAGATTCAAGGTAAAACTTTATTCAAGGTAAAAACGGAACTAGATATTCGAGTGGTAATCTAGTGTTGATTGACTTAGTTTCGACTTCTAACATTCGATGGAGAGACTTTATGAATTCGTCTCTGTTATGTCCGAGATATCTCTGATCGTCCGAGACACTTGACGCGCACAAGAAAAGTTGATGCAGGGTGACAAGAATGGAACGCTAAGTGGACCAGACTGGAACAGACGAAAGAGACCAGGAACTAGCCGGACTAGTATGATCCGACTAGACTGACGCTAACACTGGCCTTTATACTATAGTGACACCACTACACATTTGTCTCTCTCAAGCGGGAAATTCTTTCCAGCAAATGCTATAAAAGCCAGCCTTAAAACGTAACCCCAACCAACATTCAACTCAACCGACTTCCATTCTTCTAAACTTCGCTCGTCTACACTACATGACCAGCCGCAACAACCGCAACATCGTCACTGCCGCCCGAGGAGACACTCCAAGAGGACGCTCATCTTCCGGAAGCACCCCAAGGACAACTCGTCAATCGGCTGGGCAGCGAAGCAGCAGCGAACGACGACGTCCACAGAGCCGCCCAGGTACTACTCGACAACAGGGAAGACCACAAACAGCCGAAAGACCTAAAACCGTCGAGGACAGCAACGAAGATGCAGCGTTCATTGAGCAGCTTCAGGCCTGGGCCCAGGAGACTTCGCGGAAACAGCTGACGGATCTGGAATCTGAGTTCGAGCGTCTTCAGAGCCAACCGCGACCGGAACCATCTGAGGAATTTGCACGGTGATTTTTTCCGGCTAAGTTGTTTTTAACGCTCAATTATTTTTATTTTTGTAGCAATCCAACACTGAACCGTTATCGAGATGTCATCTGCGTCGAGAACAACCGGGTCGCTCTGACAAACGGACGCTACATACACGCTAATTGGATTGATAGCCAAGGTGAAATTTGGTATGTTTAAAACAAAGCAAAACTCTTTTTCAGGTGATCGGCGATACATCTGCACGCAGGGCCCTCTTCCGCAGACAGTTGGCGACTTCTGGGAAATGGTTCTGCAGGAGAAAGTTGAGGCGGTTGTGATGTTATGTGACACCGTTGAGCTCAACCGTCCCAAGTGTCACCAGTACTGGCCTAAGGATAATACACCAGAATCGGTTAGTTAGCCTCTCTGTAGATTGAGTCACTAATTTAATGCTTTTTTCTTTTTCAGGCAATCACCAGTCGGGACGGCAACATAAGAGTTCGGTTCGTGGACACGGAGGCACTGGACGACAACCATCTTATTCGGACACGCCTGCAGGTCACCAGCGACAATCCAAAGCGGCAAGCGAACGTTCGTCACTTCCATTGGAGACGTTGGCCCGATCGTGGAGTGCCTATGAACCATCTCGCGGCGCTGCGACTGCTCTTCTACATCGGGAAATACAAGCCAATAGTCGTCCACTGTTCGGCAGGTGAATGACCACAATAAAAAAATTAATTTTTGACCAATTTTTCCGGCTTTTAGGTATTGGCAGGACCGGGACTATCGTCATGATCTACTTGGCTCAGAACACACTGCGCTCTGGGCAGCGTCTGGACTTCTACGAATTGGTGGCAGATTTGCGTCGTCAACGGGCAGGCAGTGTGCAAACCCTGGATCAGTACCTGTACATCTACAGCGTCTTTCTCCGGTAAGGGATACTAAAGGCACACCTTACAAATTCCTTAAAATTTCAATTTTTCCTTCACAGGTACGCGAAGAACAAGGCTGATGCGGGCAGGTTCAAAGTGGACACGGAAGCAATTGACAAATTGATTCAGGCCATATCTAAGCGCATCTACAAGCAGACTAAGCGTTAGTTGGGACAGAGGAATGTTCTGCTGTGATATAGTGATATGTTCATGTATATTCATTGTTGTATTTTGCTTGTGTATTCGCTTGTATTTGTATGTTGACCTCATAATTGTGTATATATAGTTGTGATTATGTAAATAAATATATGTATTTGTGTTTGTTGTTTTGTTTTTATCATAGGGTCGAAATAAACGTTTAGCCTTGTGTTAAAATAAGGAAAAAAGCTGTGGGAGGGGTTAAGGTAGGGGATAAGCTGAAGAATCCAATGACTTTTAGTTCTTCAAGAATTTAGGCGTCCACGAAAAAATTTTTTTAATGAGCTTCAAAAATTCAGTCATTTCTTGAGTGTTGTCATTTCGGTCGTCTAAAGTGTTTTAACTTTTACTAGGGACTTGAAGTGAGAATTTAACGCAAAGAAAGTTCATTGTTTATGTTTATTAAAATCAAAGCCTTTGTGTAAAAATAAAAATTTAGGCACAAAAATTAGCTTGAACGTTTTTTTACATGAAAAAAAGTTTAAAAAAATAAAACAAAATTTGGCGGAGCGAGTTTAGAAAAATATCAATTGGTAACTTTTATTTTAATATTCGTTTTTTAATGTGGTTGGTCAAGTGGAGGGAGATCTGCTTAGAGTTAGACCATACATTTTAAAGTAATCTTAAATTTAATTAGAGTTGGCCGTGATCGGGATCCCGCTCGGAACGGGCATTATTATCCCAGTTTTTTGAATCCAGATTTTTTGTCAAAATCCCGATTCCGGCCAACTCTAATTTTAATATGTACGATTTCCACATTTAAAAAGGTGTATGCATAAGTGAGATGCAATTAATAGAAAATGCCCCCAAAATTTTGTGACTCGCTGATAAAACGATTTTTTAATTCCAAAAAATATTTTTTCCTTAAATTCTCACTTTTCTCCACTTTCAAAAATTTCAACCTAAATTTCACACTTTTCGTGTGATTAAAATCTAGGTGCGATCTTCACGCTTAAAATTCCATACTTTTTATAAACTCGCGCCCCCTTCCATTCCCCCATTAAATTTCCTCATTTTCTTAATTTTCTTTAAAATTTCTTTCTTTTTCATTTTTTACGCCAAGAAGGGGTATAACCGGTAGTCGAAGGTTTATTTTGTTGTTTGTCTTCATTTGGTTGTTTTTTAATTGGTGAAGAATTTGTATTTAAAGAAGGTTTGGTGGTGTTGTTTTCTTCGGGTATTTTAAATGTTTTTTTGGCAACTGGAGGGGGAATTATATTTTGTTTTTTGGGGGGAGATTTGGGAGGGGATTTGGGGGGAGATTTGCTTAGTTTTCTTGTTGTTAGGATTTGTTTGTCTGTTGAGTTTGCCTTTAAATTAAAAAAAATAAATTTTTAATCTACAAAAATTGAAAAGAAAATTAATAGGAAAAGGCGAGAAATTAAAAGAAATATTTCCATGAGATTAAAAATAGAAACAATAAGATTGTGGAAAATAATGAGAAAAACTTTTTAAACAAGTCCACACCCCAACAAAAAATGTTAATTGGGAATTAGAGGCCGGCGGAGTTCGAAAAAGCCGCGTCGACAAAAATAAAATATTTCCGTTGATTTTGTGGGAAGTAAACTTAATCCCGCTAGATTCCCTCTTTTAGAATTTTTTTTTATAAAAATCACGCAACTGCGATTTTGGGGATTCCTTGATGTTTGATTGTTAAGAGAATGCTGAAATAATGTCCTTATCTCAAATAATTACCCCCCCCCCCCCTTTTTTTTTAATTCACCCTGGGTAGTAATTATTTTAGCCAATATATTAATTACCCCCTCCCGCGATAGATTGAAATAATAATCACCCTCCCTCAATTAATTACTCTCCCTATCGGCAGGGCGAAACAATAATTACCTAGGGTTTTACGGTATTAAATTTTAAGAAGTTAAAAATTTACCAAATTTTTATTTTTAAAATTATTATTTAAATTTCCTCCACCAATATTTTTAATATTTTTCTTTTCTTCCTCAAAAGATTCAACAGAAGAAATACTTTTTTTACTTAAAGATGTTTGTTGCTGTAATTTAGCTTTAACATTTTCTACTAATTTTTCTCCTCCTTTATTTTCCTTCTTTTTTATCACCAATTTCTTCTCTTCTTCCCCATTTTCTTTAGACCCCATTTTCTCAAATTTATTTCGTAATGCCAAAGAAGTTTTTGGAATATTTTCTGTTAAATCTTCACTTTCTCTTTTAGCCATTCTGTCCCTCCAACTTGGAATTTTGTTTTTTGTTGTTAATTCTTCTTTTTGTAGGTCTTTCTCGATATTTGGTTGTTTTTTTAGTACTCTTGTAGGCTAAATTAAATTATTATTTTTTAATTAAGTTAATTAATTAAAAATAATTAATTCTTAATTAATTCAACATTAAGAGAGGGGGAATTTTGATTTTTTCTGATTTTTCTTTTCTGATTTTTAGCTGTTAAATTTATGCCCATTATTAATTAACATTTCGTTTTTTCTGTCCATTTACCCAAAATTAGGGTTTTTATTTTTTTCCAAAATGCCCAATTTTCTTTAAAACCAATTAACTTTTCGTTAACTAGCTCACAATTACCTATTTTCCCTCATTTAATCCTTAACAATTTAGTAAAAGCATTTATCCCATGAATTTTTAATCGGCAAATTTATCCGCCTAATTTCTCCACAAAAAATTAAGGAATTCCCCCAACTCCTTCCCTCAATTTCCACATACTTTAAGTTGTTCCTCTTCATCTTTAGAATCTTTGCTTTTAAGCCGAGAATTTGGAGGCCATTTGGAAGCTGTTGCAGCAGCATTCTTTTGTTTTGACTTTTCTGCCAAAATTGCCCTTTCTGCATTTTTTTCTGGTTCATAAGGCTTTTTGGATCTTTCATCTGCTTCGCGTGCACGTTCTCTAACTGCTGTCTACAAAAATATAGAATTTAAACACAGCATAATTCTATGTAGTTGTCTAAATTTTGGCCCATTTTCTCAAATTACTATATGTGGTGTTCCTCTCACTCTATATGTGTTCCTTCCACCCTACAAGATAATTTAAAAACCCCAACCTCTAGAATCACCAAAATACCCTCTAAACTTAAACTTTTAGATATGGGTAGTGTAAAGTATAGTTTCCATTACAGGTAGGGTCAATTATAGAGAGTCCATTAAATAGAGAGTCCATTAACTAGGAGGTACATTAAATAGAGGCTTATTTAATATGCCATTAAATAGAGGCATATTAAATAAGGGATGTCTGTCAAGAAAATATTTCAAAAACCTTTTTCTCTAGATAAATAGGTTCAGATTCAGAAGTACTAGGCCTTGGTGTATTAACACCAGCAATTGCCAATTTTGCAGGAATATGTTGTTTAGCCAACTCTGCTGCAGCACCACTAGGTTGCCTTTTTAATGTTTTCTTTTCTTCTTTTTGTTTTTCTTCTTTCTTGGGAAGTATTTTTGTTGGAGATTTAGGTTTTTGTTCTTCTACAGCAGCTTTTTGTTCAGCCAACATTTGACGGCGAAGAATTCTTCCTTTTTTTTAATTTAAATATTTTTTTGATATTCTTCTTAACTTGGCATGAATTTGCCCCTAATTTGTCATCTATAATTTATCCCAAATTCCCAGGTATCACACATTTCCAAATAATGGAGTGGGATGTTCCCTTCACACTATGTAAGTGTGCCGTTCAGACTAGGTGGGATGTTCTCTTTGCATTATGCTGTTCTTTCCAGCTTCCCAGACAAAGCAGAACTTAAGACAGGGTAAAAAGGGTGTTTCGAACTCCCCTGGAAAAATTTCTTGCTCCTTTAATTTATTCCATTCATAAATCCTTTACATGCCCTTAGATTTAGAAAATTCCGTGGATTGTCTTTTTAGTAAAATATCCCCACAAAAATTAATAAAATAAACTTACTAATTTCCTGATTTCTAATAGTAGCTTGTTCTACTTTAAATCGGCCTTCAGGCAATCTTAAATTAATACTAACTTTTGTAAGACCCCGATTTTGCATTATTGCCTCAATAATTTCTCTTTCTGTTTGTGTTGAAAAAGCTACACCCTTAAAATAATAAAAATTGGAACTTGTCGGAAATTTTTTAGATATAGGGTAGAGTTTAACACAAATGTCTTCACTACCGTATTACTAATCTCTCTACCGTACTTATTACAGGTGTCTACTAAATAGTGTACGCTAATTAGAGGGAAGGCTCATATAGGAGCAAAATAATCTGTAAAATAGAGGTTAGACTCCCAAGCCATACATATAAAGGTGTCCATAACATAGAAGGTTTACACAAAATAGAAGGAATTATCTTTTCGTTAAAATGCCCTACACAAAATTTCCTCCAAAAAATTACTTACTTGATTAACAGCCTTAATTTCCTCAAGAGATTGATTATTTAAAGCAGCCTTAAATAATTTTGAAAAAAAATCTCCACTTAAATAATTTGTCTCTAAATTTAAACAACGCAAATTTGTATTTTGTTTAATAACTTCAATTAAAGGTTCCAAATCCATATCATATAAACCCATATTTGCAAGTGAAAGTTTTTCTAAATATTTATTTTCTTTAATTGCTTCTATCATTCTTTTAATTTTTGGTATTGGCGTTCTCTTTAAATTTAAAAAATTTTTTTAAATTATTTTTTTGACAAAAAAAGCTTACGACACCCCCGATTCCCAGGACGTCTCCGTTCCAAGTACTAAGGAGGCCCAGCGTTGCTTAACTTGCCAGATCGGACGGGATGGCGTGCTTTCAACGCGGTATGGTCGTAAGCGAAAGACTTTCTTCTTTTATTTATTATATAGAAAAGAGAATGGAAAGTATCGTATTTAAAATATAATTAATGCTTACAAATAAATGAGTATTTACGAAACTTATAAATTTAAGAAATCAATTTAAATTAATAAATAAAAATTTAAAAAAAAATTAAAAAAAATAAAAATCACCTTCATATTATTCAAATTAATTTCAATTAATTTCGGATCATTCTTAAATAATTTTTGCATACACACTTCCACATCTGTGTCATTATCAGGCTCTGTAGGCCTTGTTTGTTGGGGTAAACTTGATTTAATTGGTTCATTACTCGTTTCTCCTAATATTCTTTCTGCTTCCTTTTTTATTTTAATTTTTAATTTTTTTGAAATTTAAATTTACACTTACATCCCAACTAATTATTCGATTTTCACTCATTGCCACTAAAAATAATTAATTTAAATATGTCTTGAACTAGAAAAAATATATTTCCTTTTTTTAAGAAAAGGAGCAACAATTTCTAAGGCTCACCACGTTCGATTGCTTCACTTTTAAAAAGATTAAACCCTCGTCTAAATGCTTGATCTCCCCTATCTTAGAAAAGGGAACAAACAATAAGGTAATCCTTAAGGCTGAAAACATTGCTAGAAGCATCATAAATTGAGGGTATCGCTTAAACAACTCCCCAACTAGTGGCCAAATGAATTTAGAAACTCGTCTATATCGAAGAATATCCAAATAATTTAGGGGAAAAAGATTCTTTCTAATTGAGCGGCGTCTCTACTTAAACTGCGATCTCTAATAGAGCGGTCCGTTGAGAGGGGATCGAGAAATAGAGCGACGGCCTTCAGTTGAACGGCAGTCCCCAATAGAGCGGCGCTTTGACAGGGGGTTGAAAAATAGAGCGGCATGGTCGCTTAGAGAAAATACGGTACCTCTAACTTAATTATTTCACTTTATTCCAGCTTTCTATGTTGATAGGGGAACGAGGATTAATTAAAGTATAATATCTTTAGAATAGCTCAGTCCGTCTCTAAATTTTACAGGGGAATATGGAGTAAACAACACCCACAAATATTATCTTTTAAAAAAATTCACAAAAAATTAACCAATTAATTCGTTAACTTCTTCATCCCCCTCCTCTTGTAATGCAGCCATTGCTTTCTCAAAATCTGCATCTGTCATCTAAAAATATTTTTTTTGTAATTTTAAATTATTTTTAAAATTACAATATCTTCACTGTCCACAGATTGCTGCTTTTTTGAAGTCATTTTTTAAATTATTTTTTTTTATTATTACTAAAATTATTTGTTAAAAATAAAGCACAAATAGAAATAAAAATAAAATCGGATCTTGGTTTTACGTAACACCAACGATCCTACCTGCCGTGTCGATTCCAGAAATCAGGAATTTATTTTCACGTCAGCAGGATTCCTGTTAAATACTCTCGATTTTACGTACTCTCTTACTCTCGATTTTACTCTCGATTTTACGTACGATTTTACGTACTCTTTACGTAAAATACTCGCGATTTTACGTAAAAAATCTAAGGGTGTAAATATGTATGTACATCCGAGTTCCAACTATTTATTGATTCAACTAAGAAATTTTTAATTGAAAAGAAAATTTAAAAAATTAACTTTTAATTTTGTATTTATTAAGAAAAGTTTATTAACACCGTATGGAATATCTAACAAAATCCTATAAAGATATACCTCAACTTTAGACACAGTTAAGTAAGGAAGATTCTCAAAAACAGAAATTCAAAACGATCGTTCTTAACATCCGAAGGGGTCTTATATGCAAAGATACTACTGTAAATACTAAAATAATTACTCAGAGTAATTATTGCGGTACTTTGGAAGTATCTCACCGTATGACCGCAAAGGATCTTCGGGATGGCGTGGTTTCAGATCCGAACCGGGACGGCATGCAGGAAGATACTCCCATAGTGTCATTATTGTTTTAATCTCTCAATGGAAGGGTAATTATTTGAGAGAGAGAGAGATAGGGATTTAATTCAACATTTTCGACAAATATTCGGAGTCTACAAAAATATTTTTTTCGAGAATAGACATCGTTTACTCGAGATAATGTCCAGCAGATGCCTTAGACCAATAAAAAGTCAAAATAAAATAATTCCAAATAAAATCCAATTTAAAAGAACATGCAAAAATAAAATATAAAGCGTCATCCTTTTCAGATAAATCTGGATTTAATCAAGTCCCAGACAGGGAAAAGGTAAAAGAAGCTTAATGGAAGAAGCTTTGATAAATTAATGTTGTTTAATAGTGTTCTTCTTCCCTTCTTCTTCTTTCCTTATCTCCTTCCTTCTTTCCTCCTCCTCCACCCACCCAAAGTTCCCATTCTTATTTGCAATAAACACACACACATATACAACAGTCCAGTCAGCCGGTTAGTTTTAAAAAGCTGAAAAATCTTTTTTTTTCTTCGATCAATCCCTTCCCCTTCCCCTTCCCCTCCCTTCCCCTCCATTTATTTACCTCCTCTCTAAATTTTTGCCTCAATTTTCTCAAAGCTTTTTTCTTCCATTTTTCTCCTGCCCTACAACCCTGTCTTTCTGTCCCAATCCTCTCAAAATTCTCTCTAATGCTTCTGATCGATCTGGTAATGTAAAAAGCAAAATGAGTAATCAAAGAAAAGGGACGTTTAAAAGAACGAGAATAAATAGAAAAACAAACAGAAAAATGTGTGGAGGGAGGGGGGGGGGAGTTTTTTTGTTTTTAAAAGTAAATGAAAGAATGTTTTTTTGTTGGAATTTGTAAAGGAGAAAATATATCCCTTTTACTGATCCATTAAATATATTTTTCTTTCTCCCGGCTGCTAAACTCGAAAGGAAAATAAAATATTTAAGAAAAATGTGTTTTGTTTTTTTTAATTTTGAGAAGGGGTGTTGATTAAATTTTTAATTTAAATTTTTTAAATCAAAGGAGAGTTGTTAGGAGTATCTATTTTGTTGGTAGATATCAAGGATTCTGTTAGCTAATAAATTCACGATCTTAGGAATCGGGACGGCATTATCCATATCAGGTCTGGATAATTGTAAAAAGATGAAGGCGGAAGTGGTAGTCGATGTTCAATTGTTCACATTCATTTACTATTTATTTAGATAACCCAATCACTCCGGACCTTTCGCATCAATTGTGTTTCAGAAAAGATTTGTTTATAGTAAGGTTAAAAATATTTTAAAAGAAAAGTGTCGTTGTGCACTTTTTATTTTTAAATGAAGAGAAATGTTTAATATATTTTATTTTCTTTATTTTTATTTTCCTTCTTACAACTTTAGAAGTCAGAAAAAACATTGGGATAGATAATAAAGTCCTTGTTCGTAGAACGATTCCGCAGCAGCCGGGACTTGTAAAGTTGACACTTTTTGGAATCAGAATTTCACTGAGGAGACGAGAACGTTTAAAAAGATGTGATAATTTTTGTAGGAATTTTTGTAAAAATTAAAAATAAATTTAAAAAATTATTTTCAAATATTGCAAAAAAGCGACGGTCAAGTAGATGTAACTGGGCAGTGCCAACACGGATATAGATAACCCAGTCACTCCGGACCTTTCGCTGATAATTGCCTGATACTTTAAGTTTAAATATGTAGCTGGAAATAAAATTAGAAATATGTGTCGCTGTTTATTTTGTAAGGAGAAATTTATTTTTTTATTTCTGTTTCTTTTCCATTTCTTTATTTTTCCAACAACTCTTAACAACTTTCAAAAACTAAAAAAGGAACTGATAAGGGATCAAAAAGGAAGGTTTGGAAGGAATTTTCTGTAAAAATTAAAATATCTACTCCAAAAAAGCGACGGTCAAGTAGATGTAACTGGGCGGTTTTGGAGAGAGAGAATTTGCATGATAACCCAGTTGCTCCGGACCTGTCGCTGAAGCTTTCCGTTTACCTCAGGTTAAAATATGTTGCTGAAAACAAACTAGAGAAATGTGTCGCTTTTTATTTTTTAGAGTGTTTTAAGGAGAAAATTGTTTTATATTTTCTTTTTTTTTATTTCTTTTCCATTTTTAATTTTTTGTTTGTTTTTATCACCTCTTCTAACAATAAGTCTGACTTGAAACTACCAAAAACTAAGAAAAAGGGAATGAGTTGGGAAAAGAAAGGAGACTTGGCTCTAATGCAGGGCATGTGTCCTATAACAAAATATGAGTCCCCCCTCATAGAACTCACTTACTTTAAATAGATAAAAATTATGTTGACTGACTTGAAACTATCAACGGTCTACTTATGAATATTGCGTCCCAAAAATAATTTTGCGTCTAAAGAAAATTTGAAAAGAATATAAAAATAAACAGTTTACTTTGCCTATATTGTAATCTAGCAAACAGAGAGGATCCCAAACCGAAATACAAAGATAGTCGAAAAATAGTATGATTTACTATTCATTACCTAATTGGGAAGGGATATCTTTTTTGTCAAAATAATAAATTAATTTTTGTTTTCCATTTCGAAGCAGCTTTGCTGAAGAAGGCTAAAAGGCCCCCCTCCCCCTTTGAACTCTAAAATAAACACTAAAAAGTAACAAATTTCCAAAATTTACAAAGATTTTATATTCAGCTTTAGTTAAATAAAAACTTAAAAAAGGTGTTACATTTATATAATTTTAAATTAAAAATATGTAAATATCCCAAAAATTCGTTACAGGCTTTGTTTCGGGAATAAATAATTCTACTAAAAAATAATATTTTTTTTAAATATTCTACTCAATTCTTTAAAAAAATTTTTTTTAATTCTTTTTTAATTCTTTTTAGACTCGAAAAAATACGGCAAAACCCCATCCCTATTCTTTTTTTACTTTAAAACTCGTTTCTCAGCTTCTTCTTCCCCTCTTTTTTCCTTCAAAATCTTTCCTCAATTCATCTTTTTCCCTTTTAAAATTTTATTTTTCTTTTTATTAAATTTAACCATAACTTTTTCCTCATTTTCATTATTTTTAAATGTTTTATAACAAAATTGTCCATTTTTTCCTTTTTTACATTTAAATTCTTCCTTAATTTCTTCAATTTTAGTCATTACTCCTTCATGATTTTTAAACATTATTTTGTGATTTTCAAATATTTCTTTATTTCCAGTACATTCATATCCATCATTAACAACTTTACATTCTAAATGAATTTTTGTTGGCTCTTCTTGTGGAAAGTTTACATTAGGGAAATTATTTTTTGGAGTCAAATAAACATTAGAAACTTGACAGGCCAAAATAAGGACGAAAACACAAGTAACAGATTTTTTCAAATTAATTGGAATATTTTGGCATTTTGTAATTATTTTTTCTTTAAAATTTCCAACTGTTTGACAAACAGAATTTGACAAGGTTTTGACAGAAGTTGTCCAATTTGGGGAGGATTCTTCGACGAAAACATCCTCTAGAGGGGAGGGCATTTCGTTGGAAGAAGATGTCTCATCATCAGAATTAATTCCTTTTAAATTAATTTGAATTTTAGAAAAGAAAAGGAGACATCTAACTAGTCAATAGGGTTGTTCCCCGTCCCCGCCCCGAAAGTCTGGGTGCCTAACTTTGATTACCTCTCTCTCTCAATATTAATTAAAAACAGACCTGGCCATGGACACGGATTTTACTATCAGTATCCGGATATATCCGCGGATATCCTGATATTATCCGTATCCGTGTCCGGGTCTGATTAAAAAATACCTAACATCCAGCCAATTAAAATTATTAAAAATAATTTTAATTTTAAATTAATCATTCTTTAAAGATTTCTTTTTAAAATAAATAAAGACAATTAAAGTAAAATACAAATTTTTAAATTTAATACGAGGGACTGTGTTTATTTACTATCATTTTCCACTTATATTTATAATGCCCAAACAAATTTACATTTAAAAATTTCGGCATTTTAAAAATAAAGAAAGGGCAAATAATTCTTAATTATTTCTTAATTTCCCTGCCCTTTTATTTTTTAGATGTGTAAAGACAAAAAAAAATATCCGGCATTTTCCTTTGATTTTTTTATTTTGCACTTTTATATTTTTTAAAATAAAAATAAAAAAATTTCAAAATTAGCTATTAAATTTTTATTTAAAAATATAAAGTGCAAAATAAAAAATTAAAAGGAAATGCCGAAATATTTTTTGTAATTTTTTATTTAAAAAATAAAAGGGCAGGGAAATTAATATTAATTTTAATAAATTAGTTTTTGTTTTCCATTATTTTACCAATTCTTTTAATATTCCAAAAAAATAATTATTTTTTGTGTTACTTTAAATAGATAAAAATTAAAAGAATTTTTTTAAATAAATTTTTTAGACATTTTTATTTTAAATAAGAAATTGTTCCTTTAAAGAATTTTTAATTTTCAATTAAAAATGGAATTTAAGGAATTAAAGAAGAATTATTTATTTATTTTTAACGACAAAAAATATTTAAATAAAGCAATAAATTATTAAAAAAAAATAAAATTAATATTCTAAAGAAAATTTCTTTATAAATAAAAAGATTTAGTAAAAGGATAGATTCATTTTAAATTTTGAAAAATGTTTAAAAATAATTATCGTCTAATACAAAAATTGGTGGTAATTTGTTTATTGTTAGGTAAGTAATTTACTAATTTTTAAAATTTTGTTTCATTATTCCCCACACGTTTCCCTAATTCTTCCAAAAATAGTAAGTAATCTAGCAAGCAGGGAGGGACTCAATATATCTACGATACCCGGACCGAAAAAATTTTGAAAACTCAGCCTGTCATTTTTCAATCTGTCCCATTCACCGGTATAACCCCCCTATATTTTTGAAATGTCAAAACATTCTCTTTACTATGTCAAAACTGAAAATTCGAATCGGAGAGAGAATTATTGTAAATCCACAACCGAAATCTCATTTATTCCTTTTAAGTAACACCTTTGTTATTTGTTGCTTTTAAATTTTATAATATGTAGAATATAGTTTTAAACAAATTTGTTTTTCAACATAGGGGGGCATAAGGGAGGGGGACTTCATAAAATGGAGGTATATTCAAATAAAAACTTACATATCAACGATCATCCAATCAGCCCAAAACCCATTAGAAAAACAGAAATACTTTTTTTAATCTATTTTTCTTAATTTAAAAGGTTTATTACTTCAACATTTTTGTAATTCCTATCCATTAATTCAAAACAATTTAATTAAAAAAAGAATAATTTCATCAAAAATTAATTCAATAACGCAACAAAAAAGACATCAAAAAAGGTCTATACAAAATCCAGAAAATGCTGAAGGGCCAATTTTGGATCCAGACGATGGAGTTTTTACTCGTTATGGGGGATAAATATTTTTTGATTTTTAAATAATAATTTTATATTTATTTTTGATTTTTATTTTTTGGTAGAAAATATCTTCAATAAATTTATTTAAATGTTTGGATTTGACTTTTAACTAGGGTTGCCGGTTTTACCAAATTCTTCGGCTAACCGAACCGACAAACCGCTCTGAAAATCTTCGTTTTTTCGGTTCGGTTTAAAACTATCAACTCTACTTTTAACACAAGAAAGCGGTCCATTCTGTATGACCGAAATTTTACGATTTTTAATAGCCTACAAAATTATGAAAAGATTGGAGCCCTATTTGGAGTAACTCCGGTAAAGTTTACGGCTAGATCACCAGGACAGGATGATCAAAAAGGGGGAAAATGAATTGATACTAAATATTGCTTTATTTATTGTTAAACTTTAAAGTGAAGTCACGTCCAAA